CATGTCCTCAGTTCTACGATACATGTTCTTGGTGTGCACAACAGAATTTTCCAAATTTTTAAGTTCTGTTTTCATTTTGTACACTGCATTTTTAAGTCCGTCTCTTTCCTCTCACATTTTACTAGAAGTGGCAAGGAGAAACCATGCAACCCACTGACAATCTTGCTTAGAAATCTCTTCAGCCAAATATCCAAGGTCATCACGTACAAGTTCTACCTTCCACCAAACATTTCAGCAAAACCCAGACAAGTTATTTGCCACTGCATAAAAAGCAGCACTCTTCCTCCATTGTCCAATCACATGTTCATTATCGCTTTTTAAAGCCTCATCAGAAACACATTTAACATCCATATGTTTAGCAACATTCTGTTGCTGGGTCATATGTATTCTCTAAGATGATACTTTCTGACTCTCCTCACTTCCTTCTTAGCCCTCACCAGAAATGCCTTCAATGCCCATAACTCTACCAACAGTCTCTTCAGGGTAATCTTGCCTTTTACTATTAAACCAAAACCAAACTCACTGCCATCGAGTCGGATCCTACTCATAGTGACCCCTCCTTGGCTTTCCGAGGTGGTATCACTATGGAAGTAGATTGCCCAACCTTCCTTCCAAGGAGTGGCTGGTGGGTTTGAACCACCAGCCTTCTGGTTAGCAGTCAAGTACCTGGCATTACACTACCAGAGCTCCTAGGCTTTTAGTATTAGGTACCTTAAAACTTCTCCAGCCTCCACCCACTGCCCAATTCCAAAATCACTTCCCAACTGTAGATACTTGTTAGAGCAGCACTGGACTCCTGATACCAAATTCTATCTTAGTTATCCTTGTTGTTGTTGTTGTTATGTGCCGTTGAGTCAGACTTGACTCATAGCCTTGGGTTTCTGAGGCGGTATCACTCAAGAAGTAGTTTGCCCAACCTTTCTTCCAAGGAGTGGCTGGTGGGTTTGAACTACCAGCCTGCTGGTTAGCAGTCAAGTACCTTAGGCTCCTATCTTAGTTCTCTAGTGCTCTTATAATACAAATACCACAAATGGGTGGTTTTAACAAAAGACATTTATTTCCTTACAGTTTAGGAGGCTAGACATCCAAATTCAAGGTGCCAGTTCTAGGGAATGGCTTTCTCTCTGTTGACTGTCCTTGTTTCTTTTCAGCTTCTGTTTCTAGATTCCTTGAAGATCGTGTGGCTTGTACCTTTCTCTCCCTTTATTAAGCTTGCCTGCTTAATCTTCTCTTTTGTATCTCAAAAGAGAAAACTTTAAAACAAACCCTACACGAATACTGTCTCATTAACATAATAAAAAGAACCCACTTCTAAATGGTATTAGCTGCACGTATAGGAGTTAGGATAAACAACACATATTTTTCAGGGGACATTATTCAATCCATAATACCATGATTAAAAGCTCCTTAGCTCTAGCTGCTTAGTGCCTAAGGCATCTGACTACTAACCAGAAGATTGTTCAAACCCAGCAGCCAGCCACTCCTTGGAAGGAAGACAGGGCAATCTAGTTCCGTAGAGACCCCACCTCAGAAACCCAAGGGGTTGCTATGTGTTGGAATCGACTCCACAGCAGTGAATTTGGTTTTAAAAGGATTAGCCCTGAGAATGCTAATTTATTAGTCCATAAATCACTACCTATTTGAGATATTAACAATTATAAAGTGATCTAGAGACAGAGAATCAAAAGTAAAAAGAAAAAGCGCTCAGTTAACCTAAAATCTATATAATCAGACCAGAAAAATCTGAACTTGAAAGGCTGAAAGTAGTATGGATTTCAATATGGCACCGATCCAAAAACCAAACTCACTGCCATCCAGTCAACTCCAACTCATAGCAACCCTATAGGACAGAACAGAACTGCACCACAGCACCTCCAAGGCTGTAAATCTTTATGGAAGCAGACTGCCCCATTTTTTTCCCACAGAGCAGCTGCCAACCATTTGATTAGCAGTGGAGTACTAAAGCACCATCAGGGCTCCTCATGATACTGAGAGTGAACTCTAATAAATCAGTATTTTATTTGACTGCTCAGCTGAATTTGCAAATATTATGGAACAGTAACTTACGCTGAGCCCAAAGTAAATGAAATTATAGTGCAGTGGCCTTCACATAATAGGTACTCAATGTTAGTTGAACAAAATCATGCTAAGGAATTACTTTTATCCACAGAAAACTACTCTCTCTCAAAGAACACCAAACTCACTGCCATCGATTCAGTTCTGACACACAGAGACTCTCATTGGGTTTCCAAGGCTATAAATCTTTACGGAAGCAGATCACCTCATCTTTCTTCCACGGAGCAGCTGGTGGGTTCTAACCACTGACCTTGTGGTTAGCACTTTTGGTTAACCACTACACCACCAGAGCTCCTTCACTACTCTCCTAAAGGAGTAAAATGTCTTTTGCAAAGTATTGTCTAGAAATTTATTCTTCCTATTCCTCAGCTGGAGAGGACAGGAAATGGCACAGAGGTAACAGTAATAATTTTCCTTTCAACACCCTTATTTTGTTTTTAATCACTACTTACCACTATTATTTAACTTAATAAAGATCCTTTTAGAGAATAACAATCAAGGTAGATAATTATTTTTCAAATAATTAATTTTATATAACTTCTGTACAGAACTT